ATGGTTAAAGACTGGATGCTTTACTGCTAAGATTAGGAAGAATACTAAAATATTTACTGTTGCTACTTGTATTCAACATTGTACTAGAAGTTCTAGCCAGGGCAATTAGGCAAGACAAAGAGAAAACAACTTTAGATTGGAAGAAGTACAGCTATCACTCTTTGCAGATAATCTACATTATCTTGTAGATAGAAAATCCCAAGGAAACAATAAAAAACCTATTAGAATTAATAAATGAGTACGGCAAGGTTGCAGGATATAGGATCAGTGTATGAAAATAAATTCTATTTCTACACCTTAACAAATCTGAAAATGAAACTAAGAAAACTTCATTTATAACAGCATAAAAAAGAATAAAGTTCTTAGAAATAAATGTAACATAACTAAAGAAATGCACAACTTGTACACGCTACACTATAAAATGTCATGGAACAATCCTTTTTTTTTTTTTTTTTTTTTTTTAAATCTTGAGACAGGGTCTCATTCTGTCGCCCAGGCTGGAGTGCAGTGGCCCGATTACAGCTCACTGCAGCCTTGACCTCTCAAGTTCACGTGATCCTCCCAAGGAGGTGGAACTACAGTTAGCGACACCATGCCCAGCCAATTTTTATACTTTTTGTAAAGCAGAAACTTCATCATGTTGCCCAGGCTAGTCTCAAACTCCTGGGCTCAAGCAATCCGCTCACCTTGTCCTCCCAAAGTCCTTGGATGACAGGTGTGAACACGTTCCCATGTTCATGGGTTGGAAGACCTGATGGCAATACTCCCCTAAATGATCTACAGATTCATGTAATTCTTATAAAAATCCAAGCTGCTTTTGCAGAAACCAACAAGCTAATCCTAAATTTGACAGAGAAATGCAGGAGACCCAGGAAACTCAAAATAATCTTGAAGAACAACAACACTGGAGGATTCAAACTTCCCGATTTCAAAACTTACTAGGAAACTACTGTAATAAGACAATGTGGTATTGGCATAAGGATAGGTATATAGATCAATGGAATGAGAGTCTAGAAACAAACCCCCACATTGATGGTCAATGCTTTTTGACAAGCATGCCAAAACAATTCAAGAAAGAACAGTCTTTTCAACAAATGGCCCTATGACAACCAGATAGTCACATGTGAAAGAACAAAGTTGGACACATCCCTAAAGCAGACCAGAGACCTAAAAGTAGGAGCCCAAACTCTAAGACCCACAGAAAAAAATAGGCTGGGTGCAGTGGCTCTCACCTGTAACTCCAGCACTCTGGGAAGCCAAGGTGGGTGGATCACCTGTGGTCAGGAGTTCGAGACCAGCCTGGCAAACATGGTGAAATCCAGTCTCTACTAAAAATATAAAAATCAGCTGGGTGTGGTGGCACACACCTGCAATCCCAGCTACTTGGGAGGCTGAGGCAGGAGAATCACTCAAACCTGGGAGGCGGAGTTTGCAGTGAGCCGGGGTTGCGCCACTGCACTCCAGTCTGGGCGGCAGAGTGAGACTCCACCTCAAAAAAAAAAAAAAAAAAAAAAAAAAAGAAATGGGAGAAAATGTTTGTAAACTAGGCATCCAGAATCTAAGTCACTCAAACAACTCACCCAGAAAAGAACAAATGGTCCCATTCAAAAGTGGCCAAAGAATATGAGCAGACATTTTTCAAAAGAAGTGGTTAACAACCACAATGAGATACCAACTTTCATCAGTTAGAATAGCTATTATTAAAAAGAAAAAAAAGGGCAGGTGCAGTGGCTCACACCTGTAATCCCAACACTTTGGGAGGCTCAGGTGGCGAGATCACATGAGGCTACAAGTTAGAGACTAGCCTGGCCAACACAGTGAAACCCTGGCATACTAAAAATACAAAAATTAGCTGGGCATGGTGACACACACCTGTAGTCCCAGCTACACAGGAGGCCGAGGAGGAGAATCACTTGAATCCAGGAGACAGAAGGTGCAGTGAGCTGAGACTGCACCACTGCACTCCAGCCTGGGCTACAAAGTGAGACTCTGTCTCAAAAAACAAAAACAAAGACATTGGCACTCATATATTTACTGCAATACTATACACAACAGCAAAGTCATGGACTCAACCTAAGTGTCCATCATCAGTGGATGACTAAAGGAAATGTGGTGTCCATGTGCGTATATACTCACACATACCATGGAATACTACTCAGCTATTAAAAAAAAGACAAAACCATGTCTTGTACAGCAACATAGATGGAACTGGAGGTCATTATCTCAAGTGAAGTAACTCAGAAAGTCAAATATCTAACATTCTTACTTATTAGTGGCGGCTATATAATGTGTACATATGGACAAACAGAGTGGAATAACACACACTGGAGACTACAAAAGGTGGGAGAATGGGGAGGGATGAGAAATCACCACTGGATACAATGTACACTAAGTGATGGTTACACTAAAAGCCCAGACTTAGTTGGGTGTGGCAGCTCATGCTTGTAATCCCAGAATTTTGGGAGGCTAAGGCAGGAGGACTGCTTGAAGCTAGACGTTTGAGACCAACATGCCCAACACAGTGACACCATCTCTATAAAAAAACAAAAAATTAGCCAGGTGTGGTAGCAGGTTCCTGTAGTCCCAGCTACTTGGGAGGCTGAGGCAAGAAGACTGCTTGAGCCCAGGAAACTGAAGCTGCAATAAGCCATGATCACCAATGCACCCCCGCCTGGATGGCAGAGTGAGACCCTGTCTCTTAAGGAAAAAAAAAAAAAAAGAAGGGCCCAGACTTTACTACTATGCAATGTATCTATATAAGTGCAGAAGTGCAGAAGACTGCACTTGTATTCCTTAAATCTACTAAAACAATTAAAAACAAACACACAATTCTATAGTACATGAGTTTAATCAGTATAAGGGATACCTGTAAAATATTTCCATACTGTAACAAACTAACATGTGACAAACGATAAAACAATATTTATAAAACAATGAGAAGCTCTGGAAAGTCATTCATTATACACATTAGTTTAATTAAAAAAAAAAAAACCCTAATACTTGCAGCAAGGAGGATAGTATGCACATAATTAATGTTTAAAATGTTCAACAACAAACAGGCCAAGGCAGGCAGATCACTTGAGGTCAGGAGTTCGAGACCAGCCTGGCCAACATGGTGAAACCCTGTCTCTACTAAATACACAAAAAATTAGCTGGGGTGTGGTGGCGAGTGACTGTATAGTCCCAGCTACTTGAGAGGCTGAGGCACAAGAATCATGTGAACCTGGGGGGTGGAGGTTGCAGTGAGCCGAGATCACATTACTTTACTCCAGACTGGGTGACAGAGCGAGACTCTGTCTCAAATAATAAATAAATAATATGTTCAACAACTATGATCCAGCCTAAATATCTAACTTCCCTCTTAAAATTGGCAATTCAAGAAATTTGGAGGTCAGAAGTGATGAGGGCAGGGCTTGGGGTGCACTACTTAAAAAAAAAAAAAAGAAAGAAAGAAATTTGGAGGGGGAAAACCCAGTTCCTAAATGAGATATTTTTCTATCCCTTGATTAGTGTTAAACTCACCTTCCATGCATTCATTCACAGATTCGTAATCTGCATAAGTTCTGCCTTCTGGCCTTTTGGTAGGCTGTACCAGCAAAATAGTGTGAGACTGCAGGGGGAAAACATGATTTCAATATAAGTTTCTATTTGAGAAATTCATAATACGATTTTTAAAAATCCCCATTTGTGATGCAATAATGATTGCTAGTTATTCAAACGTAACTAGAGAGGTCAGGCATGGTATCTCATGCCTGTAATCCTTGTCTTCTGGGAGGCTGACGGGGGAAAATCACTGGTGGCCAGGAGTTTTGAGGCCAGCCTGGGCAACAAGCAAGAATAAACATGCTGGGTATAGTAAGCTGGATCTGTCAGCTTTGAGAAAAGGTTAGACAACCCTGGCCCATTGTTCCTACAGCAGGGTGCAGCATTTGGAGGGAAAAAGAACCATCCCCGGCCGGATGCGGTGGCTTACGCCTCTAATCCCAGCACTTTGGGAGGCTGAGGTGGGTGGACTGCTTGAGGTCAAGAGTTCGAGACCAGCCTGGCTAACATGGTGAAACCCCATCTCTACTAAAATACAAAAATTAGCAGGGCGAGGTGGCGGGCGCCTGTAATCCCAGCTACTAAAGAGGCTGAGGCAGGAAAACTGCTTGAACCCGAGAGGCGTAGGCTGCAGTGAGCTAAGATCACCCCACTGAACTCCAGTTTGGGCGACAGAGTGAGGCTGTCTTAAAAAAAAAAAAAAAAAAAAAAAAAAAAAAGCAAAAAAAAAAGCACCATCCCTAAGCCTCCCTGTACCGAGTAACAATCGGGAGAGAGCGCACCCCCAGGCCCAAGGCACTCCTGAGCCAAGCGAGCAGGCGGGCGCGCAACCGCAGGGCGGACCAGGGTTCCGGGGCCTACAGTCAGTCAGGCCTGGCGTCTCCGCGGCGGGATCGATCCACCGACTAGTGGCGGAGAGCATCACGCCGCCCTGTATGGGGCTCGTGGGGAAAGGCAAATGTATGGGGCTAGGGTCGCCCTGGAGGCCGGGGACTCGGACTTGGGTGGCCACGGAGGCCTTTCTTACCATCGCGCCAAACTCTCCTCGCTGCAGCCGCTGCAGGCACCGCCGCCACTACACGAGCTTAGCTACAACGCCGCTAACAGCCAATCCCCGCGAGAGAAGCCGCCGGAAGTCGTCGGAAGTGCAACGCAAAAGTGCCTTTTGGATCATAGAGGCACAGTCACTTCCGGCAGCTAGAGCAGATACTGAGTCTGTTTCAGCCATCTTCGATAAAGGCAAAAAGGTAAGTAGGGGAAAGTTTCCTAGCTTTAGAAAGATTTTTTTTTTTCAAGACGCTGTCTTCCGTTCTTTCGTTATTAAACATACGCCTCAAGTGATCAACGGTGTAGACAGTGACATCAGTCATCTTTCATTAGCCCTACTCAAAAATGGCGGCACTGTAAGTATCCCGGGCTAGAGGTCGGTTGTAACCCGGAAGTGCCCTTGTAAAGGAGGGGGCGGTGAGACAATCCGGAAGTGGATGGAAAGAGAGGTGCCACTTGGCGGCCATGGCAGCTGTAGTATCGGCGACACCGGGTCAAGGCCCGGCCGAGTGGAGTACCATGGGCAGCACCGGGTATAGGGCAGAGACGGCCTTGTGTCAACTTTGCTGCTGAACCCCTAGGACCCATCGTTAGAGACGTGCAGGACTCCTTTCCTCATCCCAGGCTCGGAGGAGAGTTTGCTGGGACTGGTGGGCTGGTTTCCTGCCCTGGGGGGCGGATCACCTGCAGGGCCGCCTCTTGGAGACTGGGGCGTCTAGGGAACGAACAGGTTCGCTTGGGTTACTTACCCGCTGCCGCCTAAGACGTTGTGCCACCCTCATTCCGACAATCGAAGAAATTGATCATTCGCACATTTTCACCATTGACTTTTCGCATCTCTCTTAACCCACGAGAATCTGTGACTGGCATCTGAGAACCCAGAGCCTGGGACCTTAGATTGCTGTAAGCTTTCTCTGGTGCTAATATTAGCAAAAAGGATCTGTTTCCAGGTACTTTCAAGAGGAAGGTGCCTCGTGAACACATCTGCTGGTGGGAAGGCCTAAAGAACTGGAAAGCCCACTCTCTTTGCACCACCTACACGTGTTTAAAGAACCTAAGCACCTTTTAAAGCCACTGGAAATTTGTTGTCAAGTGGTGGTGGGTGAATAAAGGAGGGCAGAATGGATGATTTCATCTCCATTAGCCTGCTGTCTCTGGCTATGTTGGTGGGGTGTTACGTGGCTGGCATCATTCCCTTGGCTGTTAATTTCTCAGAGGTAAGAAACTATCAATTTTCTGTCAGCTGTCAGGATGGCTGTGAGGTAGTAGTTGTAGTTGCAAAGGGAAGCTGCTTCCCTTGATTAATCTCAAAGCTAAAGGTCCCATTAAGCAAGACTATATTTTTAAAAACAAACCTCATATTCAGCAGTGGAATTCTTAACCTGGGGTAGATAGATATTCCACTGAAGATCCTGGACTATCCTGAATCCCCTGGAATTGCTTAAAAATTTTGAGGTTCTGTGCATTTTCCTGGAGAGAGGCACCATAACATTTCTTTTGATTCTCAGAGGTTTCATGGAATCAAGGTTCCATATTGTTACCAAGAAAATAAATGGAGTGGCTCATGCCTGTACTCTCAGCACTTTGGGAGGCTGAGGTGGAAGGCTCACTTGGGCCCAGGAGTTCTAGACCAGCCTGGGCAACATGGAGAGACCCTGTCCCTCCAAAAATTTAAAGTTATCCACGTGGTGGTGTGCTTCTGTTGTTCTAACTACTAGGGAGGCTGAGGTAGTAGGATCGCTTGAGCCCAGGTGGCTGAAGCTGCAATGAGCTGTGTTTGGGCCACTGCACTCCATCCTGGATTCCTGGATGGCAGAGTGAGATCCTGTCTCCAAAAAAAATAAAAAATAAATGGAGAATGTTATTTGTCCATATGAATTGAAGTCAGTATGATAACTTCTTGTTGAGAAAGTCAAACATAACTTTCTGAGGAAAGCTGTTTTGTTTTGTTTTTTGGATGCTTGTACTAGAATGAATGAAAGAAAAATTAGATTGTTCTTAACTCACAGTTCCTTTCAAATGTGAGCATTGGAATTGATATTCTGAAGTTGTTTCAAATCTATTTGCTTAGCAATGAATTTTTGGTTAATATGTTTTAACATTTTGGTTAATTTGATTGGCATTCCTTGAACAAACGTTAAGCGAGGGTCCCAAGGAAGATGGGTAGATGAACACTGTTCAGTGAACATTCCAATAGGTCCTTTAGGTAGGCATAAAGAATTCACGAAGTGCACAGTGTTCAAAGATTTAGGGGGAATAACTACTACATTTAGAGGGAACAAGATTTCATGAGTTTGTCCTAGAGTTCAGCAGTAAAATAGGCCCTACTTTCAATGCTGTTCCTGAAAGTACTTTCAAAGGAAAGAGGAGAGTAGAATGGCCTGAAGTAGAAAGGAAAGGTATAAGTGAAATATTAAGTTTACCTTGAAGAAACCTGAGGAAGAGGAGACATTGCAGGTGAAAATAGCCTGTGGGTGGGAAAGAAGGTGGGACAAGGAGTTGTCAATTTGAGGAAAAGTAAGCCCATAGCCAGATGGAATGGAGGCTTGAATTGTTGCTGCTCTTTTTCTGTTTCCTTTTTTGTCTCTACCCCTCAGCATCTAATGACAACATTTTTTAAAAGTATATACATTACCTAACTTCACTTAAAAAACTCAAGCTGGGTGCGGTGGGGCACACCTGTAGTCCTAGCTACTCAGGAGGATAAGGTGGGAGGATTGTGTGAGCCCAGGAGTTGGCCTGGGCAATACTGAGACTCTGTCTCTCAAAAAAAAAAAAAAAAAAAAAAGAAAGAAAGAAAGATCAGTGAGGTACAGACTGGATGGGTTCATGAAGTTTATTAGAATCAGGGGAGAGATATTTTTTCAATCCAGCTTTTCTGACTCAGACCAATTCTTGGTATACATGGTAGACTGTGTACCAAATCCACCCCACAGGCTGACTGTTAAATTAGCAGACAGTTTATTATTGTTCTTTACCAGTATTTCCTCAAGGCAACAGTTGGGATGGGCTGAGTAGCAGCTGATAGTCACAGTCCTCCTTGCCCTTGAAGCCTATGTCATTCATTCAGGTTACCTGCCTACCCAGCAGTTCGTGAACCTGCTTTGTTTCCTTTGACAGAACCGTATTTTCTTATAACTGTATTAGAATTGAATTGACATTAGTAAGGCTGACGTGTGAGATTTGGGTTGGTTTGTGTATTTTTTAACTTACTGAAGTAACATTATGAATAATTGTAATTCTGATAAGCAACCAGTAAAACTTTTTATTTCTATAAAATGCTTATAGCTTTACCAATTTCAGTATTTTTTCAAACTTCCATGAATGATTATTGCAATATGCAGATATATACTATTTGCTTTTTCACTGGAAGGAAATGTTTACAGGAGTTGTGTTATTATCTGGGACATTAATAAGGACAATTAGTATGTTTTTTCATTTCTGGCTTTCTTAAATTGTCGGTCAAGTGGTCTTTTCCAGCTATAGGTCTTAAAATGCTATAAAGCAGCATTCATAATATCTGTTTATTATTAGAGCAGACACAGTGCATTTTGAGCTGTTAAAATAAAAATGAAAGTTATATATAACTTAAAGACATTTTAGAATTCAACTAGGATTTCTGTCCCCTGGTAACTAAACATTTTTTCTAGGCAAATTATGCCATATTATGGACCAATGTTATACTGAAACTAGTGAGATGGTAAATTTGTCAAAATAAATTTCATTCATGGGGGACTGGAAAGCACAATTTCTTTCCTTACAAAATAATTCCCCAAACTCCTACACAGGATAAACAACTTGCCTCTTTAAGGAAGTCTGACTTTTTTTTAGAGATAAGTGTTAATATTTTACAGTTCACTTTTATTTACATCAGGGGTGTCCAATCTTTTGGCTTCCCTGGGCCACATTGGAAGAAGAGTTATCTCGAGCCACATATGAAATACACTAACACTAAGATAGCTGATGAGCTAAAAAATAATAATAATAATAATTGCAAAAAAACCTCATAATGTTTTAAGAAAGTTTGTGAATTTTTGTTAGGCTTCATTCAAAGCTCTCCTGGGTTGCATGCAGCCCAGGAGCCACAGGTTGGACAAGCTTGATTTACATGAAAAGAAATGCCTTTTATTCATGTTTTTAATTTTGCTGCTGCTGCTTTCTCATTCAATACTTTTTCTTCAGAATTTCTCAGAGCACGAATAAAAGTCAGATGATCAATTATGGAAAGATTAGTATTCAAAAACGAGTTAAAATCAAGTAGTCTGAAATTGCGGTAGTGTGAAGTCTAACTGCCAGATATGACCACCAAGAGGTTTATGTGACATTGATTTCTCTCAGTTTTTCCTCACCCCAAAACTACCTTTCTTGATACTTTTGTGACCTCTTCCTTGCCCTTTGACCTGGCAACTGTACCTTCATGCCTTAAAAATTTATAAAACAGAGGAAAAAAAGTCTGACTCTCAAATGCAATTATAAGTAACTTTGATAATCAGGATGCTGATTTTTTCGGCATATGGGAAAGAGAAACACTTTTAACTTTTAAAGGAAGCCAAAGCATGCTTTACACAAATGAAGTCCTGTTTGGTAAGGGAGTGAGACATACTAGTTTATGGTTAGCACTGTCTTATCTTTTTTAGATTCAATTGCTAATGAGGAGTTTTCTTTGGCTCTAAATAACAATATTACATAAGTAGGTTGAGAGTCCATATTACCTAGTATAAACTCAGTGTGCTCCAATTGATAAATGGAGCTATGATAGAAAAACCAGATGGCCAAAGTGGGATTTCAGATTGATTGTCGAAGGGTTGTTACTCACCTGAATATGTCTCCTCTTTGTCACAGAGCTGGTAACAGAAAGCAAGCTGTTTTTGCCTCAGAGCTCTACAGCAGTATTCCTCAGCCTGTCTAGTAAAGGATCAGGTTTTTTGTTTGTTTGTTGTGTTTTTTTTTTTTTTGAGATGGAGTTTTGCTCTTGTTGCCCGGGCTGGAGTGCACTGGCACGATCTCAGCTCAGGGCAACTTCTGCCTCCTGGATTCAAGCGATTCTCTTGCCTCAACCTCCCGAGTAGCTTGGATTATAGGCATGTGCCACCACACCTGGCTAATTTTGTATTTTTAGTAGAGACAGTGTTTCACCGTGTTGGTCAGGCTGGTCTCGATCTCCCAGCCTCAGGTGATCCACCTGCCTTGGCCTCCCAAAGTGCTGGGATTACAGGCGTGACCCACCGCATCCAGCCTAGTTTTTGTTTTTAATTTTTATTTCAATCCATACCAATACACTTATAAAAATGAAATAGTAGGAAAATGAAGTGGAAAAAAATTATAGAAAATACAAGCGCAAATGTATTGTTATTAGATTCAAACAGATAAAAAATTACTACTATAATTGTAATCATGTTGTTATAAAAATTTCTGAAGACTCTTAGTTTCCCTACTTTTCTTATTGCAGACCAGCTTGGGTTATAATGCCACATTTTTCATGTATTAAAACAGCAAAGCTGGGTGCAGTAGCACACACCAGTAGTCCCAGCTACTCCAATTGCCAATGAGGAAGGATCACTTGAGCCCAGGAGTTCAGGATTGCGGTGAGCTATAAGTGTACCTGTGGATAGCCACTGGCAACATAGCGAGACCAGCTCCCTAAAATAACCAGTGGCATAAATTCCATAAATTGGCAGGTGAAAGACGTGCTATTCTTAGGATTTTTTTTTTTTTTTTTGAGACAGAGTCTCACTCTGTCGCCAGGCTGGAGTGCAGTGGTGTGATCTCGGCTCACTGCAACCTCCATCTCCTGGGTTCAAGCGATTGTCCTACCTCAGCCTCCTGAGTAGCTGGGACTACAGGTGTGTGCCACCATGCCCAGCAAATTTTTGTATTTCTGATAGAGACAGGGTTTCACCATGTTGGCCAGGATGGTCTTGAACTCCTGACCTCTCAAGTGATCGCCCGCCTTGGCCTCCCAAAGTGCTGGCATTACAAACATGAGCCACCACGCCTGGCATCTTAGGATGATTTTAAAGTTTAATATGATTAATAATGCACTGATTTCAAAAGGGACTGTTTAAGACAGTATTATTCAAAATCAGTGTCACTACTTGAACAAGCTATTAAAATTTAAGTCTATTCTGTTAAATGACCTTCTGGGATTGTTGTGAGGTTAAAATAATATAAACATAGGCTTAACACTGTCTAGAGCATACTAAAAACTTTGAAAAAT